TTGGCTCTCTTGCAACTAGACCTTAGTAGGAGTTTTGATTACCATAGCCTCTCACTCGCTTTCTCTTTTGGTCTTTCTGCACAAAACAAACGCACCCAAACTCACACTCCCTTCCGATTCCATTCCTATAATAGAAGTATTAAATGACTGTCCTTCCCACTGGAACAAACTTTATAGCATAATAAAAAACTCTCTGTCGTTTTCTGCCCTTCATATATCTTCTAAGCGACACTATCCTCACTATTCCCTTCCATATATCTTCAAGTATATCTTTTCAATTTCTTGTAGTATTCCAGGTTTTTTTAAGCTTACTTTTGACACAGGGGCAGAGACAGGGTACTAGCTAGGACACCTTAGGGCAATGAAAAGTAGGGGGGGCAATAAATGAAAGGGCATGCCGCAATGGCCAACCCCAACTCCATGAGGTTCTAAATATTAAATGAGGGCAGTTTAAAAAATGTTAATGGGCCCTGATGTCATGTACCCAAGTGAATCAAATGACCCCAACTGCTGTTTCAGTAGTGTTAGCAGATACAAACTAGGAGACAGACTGATGGATTGATGGATTTTTCATGATCTTTGAACAAGACTCAAGCTTTTTACTAACTTTAATTTGGAGAAAGGAAAGGAAGCCATAAATGTTTCATGTGGACCTGTCTCTGATTAAAACAAAAATAATTACTACTAGTAGTAGCCTAGTAGTAATAGTTGAAGACAGTGAAAACATTGTAGAGGTGGGGAAAAATCTTCCTATGGGTTGTCTTTGTTTTCTACACATGGCCATGTGAGCGCCCGACTCTGATCAGTCATTGGGCGCTTGGTTCCCCTGTCTCTGTGTCTTTCGTAATGAAGATCCCTTTCACTTTGGGTAAATATATATAGTTTTCTAATTACGCCAATGCTGAATTTAAAACTGTACTTACAGAAATAAGTGATCCAATGCCACAAGAAGGTGGTCATAAATGTGATGCAATTCCACACGAAGGAGGTCATAAATGTGATAGCCAACCATTCAACCTGAAACCTTTTTGCTGTTATATTGTCAAAGAAAAATGAGTTTAGGCGCCTCCTGAATGTAAATATATTTATGGGGACACAGCATTTACTGCATGCAAACTATGGAAAGCCTCAGCCATTATTTTAGGTTAGCCAAAAAAGGTTAGAATCAAAAGTCAAGTTGTGCACATGCATTGAGAAACTAGAACCCTGAAAACTGCTGCAACATTTGGAAATTAAAATGTTTGGATCATCAAACATTACTTCATGCAATTTGGGCATAGAAAAATAAATATTCAGTCTCAAGAAGAGAATTCTAATGAACCAAAAAGTTTTTATTTGAAGTTTATACCAATTCCAACGAGGTCATGACCGAGTACACTTACTTTCACTGACCTGAACAATGCGTGGGTCAGTCTTCTCACTTAATTTGGCCCACAGCCCAATACTAAATAATTTGGGCCACCTTAGGTCAAATCTCAAAATTTGAAGGTTCACCTCGGTCTAGGTCCACAACAAAAGAGTTTGTAGGGACAAATATATACATACATACATGTCTAGGTATATACACATCAAACAGATTAATGCTCTGAATCAAAAATCACTTTTTCTTTCGCCAAAAGAAGAAGAAAAACAAAAAAAAAAAAGAAGAAGAAGAAAGGAACAAAGCCTTTTTAGGGAGCCAAATGGACATGATTGGTTTTCTGAGCACCAACTTCTCTGAGGCTAGTTTGGGAGTGCCCTTTTCAAAAGTTGACCAACCCACCAACAAAATGGAGAAGGCAGTATCGTTGCGTTGTGTTGGGATTGTTCATATTTTTTGGATCGACGTTATTACGACCGGTGTTTGATGCAAGGATGATAAGCGACCTCACCTAGTAGTAAGAAAATAAATTATGAAATTAATAAAAGTAAAATCGTTGAGGAATAATAGTAGCAATTATTGTCCTTCAAAAATAAAATAAAATAAAATAAAATATTTTTATTTTTTAAAATTTTAATTAAAATTATATAAAAATTTATTAATTTTTAAAATGAATACTCTATTAATAAATGCAAACACTATTAACAAAAATTATAAAAGCTTAAAATATTTTTTTATTAATTTAAAAATTATTATTATATTTTTTAAAATAAATTAAAAAAATCAATGCTTCTCAGCTCCCTAAGAAGAGAGAGCATCGGCTAGTGCTCCCAGGGAAAGGGCGCATCAGGCTCCCCAAGGGGAGTACCAGAGCTTCCTTAGGGAGCCTAAATGGGCCTCCTCCAGCGGTCTCTTTTTTTTTTTAATTAATAAAAGATAATAAAGTTATATAATAATAATTATAAAATTTAATTAAAATTAAAATTAAAATTATTTTTTACTTCTGCTACCTTAACAAGTTAACGAAAATATTAATAGTTGTCTAACTATTGGATTTATGCGTTTTAAAAAAATATTTTTTAAAACAGAATATTTATTTTTAAAATTAATAAATTTTTATATAATTTTAATTAAAATTTAAAAATAAAAATATTTTACTCAAAAAAATAATAACAATTGTTTATATAGAGAGAAGGTGGAAAGCGGGACGACAAGGTCACGGAGGATTACATGCCTTAAAATCAGGGGAGAGCTGCCCTGCGATGGCCTACGTTTGAAACCCACAGTTAGGTTCACCAACTAAAGTATGCACCATCTTCCGGTGGTTAGGCTGGGTTGACTTAATTCAATTTTCAGCCCATCTTATTTCCAGTCAACTAAGCGCGGGCAAACAATAACCCAAGGACTGCCAGGTCATTCTTTTTGACTTAGTCTATGATATAAAAAAACTCACAACTTCTGCGGTCAAAAGGGGCCAAAGAGTAGCCGGCTCAGAGTCGGTGACCATTGACCCGGTGCCGGGTCCAATCCAACTCATTGAGAGTGAAGACCGTGATTTAGAAATAGTCCAAGCAGCACTCGCATTTAATTGCTTATGTGGGATTAGTCAAAATTATAAAAGACATAATGAGGGAAATTCAATCAAACCAGGCTGGAATGTCCATATGGACCTTAAATACATGGTTAGGTTCCGTCTAAACCAAAGTCAATGACCCCCCGCTCGCTACTTAATTATCTTCCCGAGTCATAACCTTGTATGCTCTTTCTCGCCCTGATGCATTAGATTCAAACCTCTCAAAGCAAGCATCAAACATGTGTTTTTTCATTGCTCCTGGTAGTAAATAGTATACAGGAAATTGCCTCATTAGCTTGTGATCTTTTTATAATGTCTTTATTTTCGTTTTTAATTTAAAAAAAATTATTTTTTAATTTGGTTATCTTTAAATTTGTTTTAAATTTATTGGTACCTTATTTGTTATTAAAATATGAATGCAAATATGAACTAAATTTACCACGAAATGCTTAAGCGCACGTACATAATAAATTTTATCACTCAATGTTTCTTCTTGCTGTTATTGGTATCAAATAGTATATTAGTAAATTAGATTACTAGTTCATGATCATTTATTCATTTCATAATACTTATTTTTATTTGTAATTTAAAATACTTAATATTTTTATTTGTGATCATTTGTATTTGTTTTATATTTATCAATTTATTAACGTATTTTTAGAATTTAGATCAAATATACCGTTTGAAAAAAAACACTGTCATAAATTTTGTTCATTTTATAATAATTTATTGACAAATGAAATGAATTTGAAACATATTCGAGATTCAATTATCTTCAAAAACAAATAAAAATAAATTATGATGAAAGGATCACATATTAATGACACGATTATTGGAAAGTATATATATATTGTAGAAAAAGTCATGTAACTCATGGCTTGGTCACATTCATGTATGAGACAGGGAAAATGTAAATGACCTACTTGTAACAAATTAGTAATGGAAATAGCAGCTCACATGAATAAAGCTGTTGGTGTTTTTTTTTTCTTTTAATAAAAGGAAGGGGGATTCGAAATGAACTTTTTCTTTTTCTCTAATGGAATGGCCCTTTATATGTATGTTTCAACTAGGTTTCTCTATCTCTCCAGGGAGCACGTGTGGCAGACTTAAAAAGCGCTCCACATGACTGATGACTCCATTTCCAATTTGCAGATTATGGTAGTCTGAAAACTTGACACTAATCGCACCTTGGTGAAAAGAGTCCAGTCAACCTTGTTTACCAGCTGTGTTGGAACTTGTTGTCTTCGAGTCAAGCACGTCGTTCTCCGTTAACAGGGGTTTCAAGATTGGTGTAAATTTCACAAAGAATTCCGATTTAAACTCTACGGTAAACGCTGATTAAATTAGTAATCTAATTTTGATCACCCTCATAAAGTAGCAATTTCTTTAGCAGACATGGAATTCGAGTTCATAAGTTCGAGATGATTAAATCTCTAGGAGTTGACGGCTTAAAGTCCATAATTATGTATGTAGAATGATGTTTGAGTATTTTAAATACACTTGTTAAAGATTGCAATTAATTAATCTACATAGGGTAAGAAATATACCTTTTGGTTGTATAAGAATTTTCAATTGAATGGAATCGAAATTGGGTGATTAAAATGCTGATTTGGTTGTGTAAACTGGCTTTATGAATATATACTTAGCATCTTAAACCTAGATCACATTTTAATTCAAAAGTTACCGCTTACGATGAGAATATATTGAATTAATAAATCACTAATGCAATTCTGCGTTCAGACTTCATACCTTGGATTCTTTCTAGTGCTAGTACTTTGGTTTTGGACTACGCGGACGGAGAGAAGCAAGCGGCCAAAAAGTCTTCCTTTTGCCCCCAGTTCCACGTTTACATCCAGTCCTACTCATTTCCAGTAGTACACACCTACATTAATAATAATAATAAAAAATAATAATAATTCTAATTTAGTATGACAAGTCAAAAAAACCAATAAATAAATTCAAAGAGAGACACTCGCATTTGACCAACGACCCCCCCATAATCACACGTTCAAAACGACGTCATGTCACCTACTCTTTGACTCTTTCCCTCTCCATAAAAACCTTCCCCTCTTCTCCTTTTGTCTCTGCAATTCGTTCTAAGCAAGCCTCTCTCACAAAGCCAAGAGGAAACAACTTTCTTTTATATTTTTTGCTCTCAAATATATATCAGAAGAGCCATAAAATTAAAAAAAATGGTGAAGGAGGAACTGTACATAACCGTACCGAGTGTTTTCCGGTGTCCAATCTCACTGGACGTAATGAAGTCTCCGGTTAGCCTCTGTACGGGCGTTACTTACGACCGTTCCAGCATCCAGCACTGGCTAGAATCCGGTCACGACACTTGTCCCGCCACCATGCAGGTTCTTCCTTCCAAGGATTTCGTTCCTAACCTCACTCTCCATCGTCTAATTAACCTCTGGGTTCAATCCTCCACCCTCCGGCCAGGCTCTGACTCTCCGCGGCTGCTTCTAGCGACGTCTCCGGTGATCTCGGAGGTTCAAGCTAAGCTTTTGATGGAGAAGATCGAGAGCGAGAGTTGCGTTGATTCTTTGACTAAGGTTGCCGAATTCGTAAGCTGTTCTGAGGAGAACGGGAGATCTATAGTGAGATTCGGCGATTCCATTGAGATAATTGCCAGCGTTTTGAGAAGGAAATGTGTGGAAATCAAAGCTTTGGAAATGGCGGTCAGGATTTTGGATTTGATTTTGAGCGAAAACGGAGTCAAAGAACGGTTAAACAAATTAATCCTCGAAAGCAGTCAGGAAAACGATTTCTTGTCTTCAATCGTTTTAATTCTCCAAAACGGAAGCCTCAACCCGAAGACCGAAGCAATCCGAGTTCTGGACTCCATCGCACTCGACTCAGAATCCAAGCGCAGGATCGCCGAGTCACAAAACCTTATATACGTCCTTGTCCATCTCC